TCTTAATATCACAACTTATTTGTTCGGCAACACGGCCTTTGATCTTCACCTTAAATTACAATTTATAAATTAATGAGTATCCATTTATTTTCACACTTCTTGTTTTTCGCTACTTTGTCTTTTTTACGTTATTCAACAGTCTGATTACTTACCTTTTGAAAATCTGATGCACCCGTCCCTCTCTCTTCCTTCTTCCATGGACAGGATGAGAGCTTCGAGATGCAGAAAGAGGTGTACAGGGGTCAACAGTACAGTCGAATCTATTTTGCTCGTCTCGACACGATATGGACTTTACTTTATTCTCGAATTCCCAACTGGAAATCCCATTTAACAGGTAATTCTTTTGTGTTTCCATCTACCAATTCTTATTCTCTCTATTTTTTTTTTCCTTTTTTGTTTTTACTTAAAGCTTTATTTTTTAAGCATTTTTTGTCAAATTGCTTTGTGGGTTTTTGGTTTTGGGTTGGCTGCATCTTGGGATAGTTTATTTGTAGTCTTTCTTGTACTTGAATCTTTTGGGTTATGTGTTGGCTGCTATTGTGAAAGGAAAAATTTCCATCTTTGGTGACTTCAGTGGCTAAAGGGTCTTCCATAAAATAATAGTTGTGGAGGGTCCAAGGTTTTGACGGTTATGCCTATAGTTCAGAAAGCCTTTTCCTTTACGCTGAGGTTACAATTTGGTCAGTTTGATTTTTATTATAGAATTGTTGGGTCATTTTAAGGATGGGTTTCTTCTGGAAAAGCTTCCTAGATGACAATGTGTGTATTGGGGAAAAGAGAATTTTGTCCCGCTTGTAGAACCACATAATTTTAGGCATCCAGATGATTACTTGGTTTTGGAGGATGAGAAAGGAAGGGTTAAGCTAGGTCGGACTATGCTTTTGCCTTCAGCCTATGTAACGGGTCTGTGTTGCAGATTATCAATAAGCCTGCACAAAATGCAGTTTAAGTCATCATTAAACCATGATTGGCAGCTTGGACTGGATTTTAGCCTTTTGAATGTAGTGTGTAAAGATCTTAGACCACTGGGCTATCCAATCTCTTACCCTTAGGCATTTTTGCTTTATCACCTTCATTTCCATTTTGATAGGCGTAGTTGTTGCTTTGCATGGAAGATAAACCAGCGCCGGTGCCTTCTTTGTTGAAGATGTTCTGGAAGCTGGCCTACCACCTCAGATAGAACTTCCACTTAAATCACATATGATCTGAATTGTTCCTTAAATTTACATTTTTGGTGCATTCTATATTGCTGCCTAAATTTTTGTAAGCAGTCATCTGTCTGTTGGTCGTACTGATTGCTTATTTGCATACTCTGGATGTGGTGTTTGTCAATGAAATCCAATACTACCATGTATTGCAAAAGAGAAAAAAACAAAGTATAAAGAGTATCATCAAAAGATTTTGCTAAGTTTGTGGTAGAATATAAGGAAATACTTGAAGAATTAGTCAATTCATAATGTAGTGAAGACTCGAAGTAACTAAAGTTAGATTTTGGTAATTAAGCTGTTCCTGTAATCTTATAATTTGTTTCGCAATCTGTTTGTCTCCTTCTCTGTATAGCTTTAGATGATATCTCATTACCATAGTTTTTTATGTTTCAGTGGCTTACTTTTTGAAATAAGTAAGACCATGCTTATTGCAGAGTTTTAACTTCATACATCATGAGAATAGTTTCATCATGATTATTGGAATGGGAAATTTTTATTTGATTATGTATGGTGGGACTATTCACTAAATTAGATAGTTGAATTCCATTCATCTCATGAACCAAAGCTCCCTTCTTGATTTCAGTAAAACTTGGTCAAATATTTTCTTTGGATTTGATCTTTCTCTGTGTGTAAGCATTGCCTCATAGCATCAACTTTGGATTATGTCCAGGGGAAGACAAGTATGTGGTCTTTTTGTCAGGGCTGAGCATCGGGAATGCTGCTTCTAATCCTCTTCAGTTCCAGCTTCTTGTTGATCACATAACAGGACATCTGGGAGATGATGAGGTTCTTATAGATTTCATCCAATTTTTTCTTCAAGCAATTACTGTTTTACACTCATTTTTTGGAAGAAATTATTTCATCTTGCTTCATACCATTAATTATGTAGGAACAAGGCATTGCTGCACGGATAGTTCATGTGGTTGTTGCTGCGAACTTGGTTGAAATTCCACGTGGACCTCTTAATGGACAGGTCATATTTTTTTTCTTTTTGGTCTGTTCTATGGCTGGCAGTTGACTTTTATTTCATAGGAATCTGTGGCATGCTTTCTGCATATGTGTTTGTTATCATTGGTTTATTTTGGTAGTCATTCTGCATAGGGGTTTGATGGTAACAGTAAGCTCATTATGGATTTAACAAATAGCACCAAACTCACTCCAGTTTTGAATTAAACCATAATCATTTTCTAAATTTTGTTATGACTTCCACTTGTCTCCCTCCTTATTCACATTTCACAAATAGAATTTTTCAGGTTAAAATTTTGCTGCTATATGCAATATAAGAAAATAATGTTTTGCCTTCTTTTTTTTGGTCCTTGAATAATGTTTTACCTAAGAAATAGATAATTATTTGTTATTCTATTGAAAATCTCAAACATGCAACGGTGGATGGGAAATCTTGATTACTTTGCAGCTAATTTGTCTCATTAATTTTCACTTAGCAGAGAGCTAACTTGTTTTCATTAACGTACACTTAGCAGAATTTGGCTTCAAAGTACCAGTCAAGGCTTTCTGAGGCAATGAAAGAGCTGGATATCTTGTTGACTCAGGTTGCTTTTGTTATTTTCAGTAGTAACTCAACGTGGCTTCCTTTTGTCCAGTACTCTCTTTAGCTTGCTTAATTATTTTCTTTGTAGATTGCTGCAGGGTTGCCATTTGATATCATGCCAGGATATAATGACCCAGCAAATTTTTCTTTACCCCAGCAGGTTTTTTGTACATACTGAGAGGAAATGTACCATGGAACTACATTTGCATCATGTTGCTTTGATTCAATCATCCTCCCTTCAGCCATTGCATAGATGTCTTCTTCCTGGTTCAGGAGCTTATAACACTTTAGGTCCTGTACTAATCCTCATTGCTTTAAGCTTGATAATGCTAGGTAAGACACGCAAATGACTACAGGCAAGTTCCCAGTTGAGTTAGATATATAATGAGTAGTAAGAACATTGTCTTCTGGTTTTCCAGATTTCTTGGAACATCAGGTCAGAATATAGATGATCTTGCAAAGTATTCAGAGGCAGACGGTACACTTGATTTTATGTGGAGGCATCTGGCACCAACAGCACCTAATACTCTTGGTAAAAGTTAATATGTTCTTTCTGAAGTGTAATTCATTGTTTTACTAGTGCAGTTTGCTTCGCGCTTCACTTCGGTTTTACTATGCCAATCTTGTTTTTAGAGAAAATGTGCAAATAGCCATATTAACTTTGTATTTTTTTTATTTAAATATATTAATTTTATCAGTTTTTGAATAAAAATACTAATTTTTAATTTTTTCTATTTAAGAATGTTAATTTTTAATTTTTTTATTTAAATATATTAACTTTTTTTTAAAAGTTTATTTATCATGTCAACATTACCATTTAATTAATTTTTAAATAAAAATAAGTTAAAAATT